CCCCTGCCATGGCAGGGGGTTGGGACTAGATGATCTCTAACGTCCATTCCAACCCTTAAATTCTATGATTACTTCTATCCCTCTTACTGCCAAGCTACACACACAGCCCTGGGGAGGAAGAGCCTGGCAGGATTAACTTGCTGACCTACCCCAGTTATGCAGGTACCCTGGAGTCTTTGGAGAACAACCTCTGCCCCAAAGGGGCACGTGGTCATTGCCAGTGAGACCACACAGCTCACTTCTTTCCACAGCCATTAGCCTGAAGAGGGAGGGAGAAGCAACATTGTGCTATTTTTATACCAACCCAGAAATATGAGCATTTAACCTCTCTCTAATGTGCACTTTGCCTGTGGCCACAGGGCTGAGTTCTGCTTTCAAACTTTTAGGCAAAGTCCGGTGTTACAACTGGCTACAGATGCATAAAGTAACCTGAGCACTGCTCATATTCCAGGCAATACTACAACAGCTGGACAGAGCATTAGGAGCTGCTCAAGAGAAAAAAAACCCTCTTCTACCTCTTTTTCACTGTACAAAATATTACACACACACACTTTTGAAAAGAACTTCGGGTCCCTTTCAATGGGCTTCTGTAAAACAGTGTCACACGTCTCACGCAGCAGCTCTGCCCAAAGGAAGGGCAGTGGTTTAGGCATTAGCATCCTATGGGCCAACCTTCACATAAATTCACTTCGTCTGCATTTTGCAGACTCTTTGTTGGGAGGTTTAACTTTGCTTTTCCATTTTCCAAAGGGTCTGCAGTTTGCTTACTCAGCTTTCTGTAATGACAACGCAAGAATATCACAGTCCTACACATCAAGATGACCAAAATTGATGCCACACATCATTAAGAGAGTTGTGTCTCTCTCTTCCTTCTGCAATTTGAAACATTCTGCAGCCTGGTAAGTCCCAAAAGCTACCTCCAAAATTAAGTTAAATTTTAAGTTTAATTTTCTGGCAGTTTTGTCCTCAGTTTCAGCTCTCTGATCCCTACTAGAATTTGACTCAGTGTCTCAACAATCTTTGTGTTAAGTTTTCTCAGCCCCCGTACAATTTGAAATATTGGAAAGTTCATAGAATCATAGAATTTAAGGGTTGGAATGGACCTTACAGATTATCTAGCCCCAACCCCCTGCCCTGGGCAGGGACACCTCCCACCAGAGCAGGTTGCTCAAGGCTTCATCCAACCTGGCCTTGAACACTGCCAGGGTTGGGGCAGCCACAGCCTCCCTGGGCAACCTGTGCCAGTGTCTCACCACCCTCACAGGAAAAAACCTTTTTCTCACATCCAACCCAGACTTTCCCTCCTTCAGTTTGAACCCGTTACCCCTTGTCCTATCACTGCAGTTCCTAACAAACTCTCTGGCTCCCTTGTAGGCCCTTCAGATACTGAAAAGTTGCTCTGAGGTCTCCACATAGTATTCTCTTCTCCAGGCTGAACAGCCTCAACTTCCACAGCCTGTCCTCATAGGGGAGAGTTCTTTTTTTTTCCTTTCTCAGTCTTCTATGAACTATATCTTCTACAACACTTCCTTCCTCCAGGACTGGATGTGGCACTTACTGCCATGGTCTAGTAACCATGGTAGGGTTGGACTCGATCATCTTAGAGGTCTTTTCCAACCTGAATGATTCTATGATTCTATGACTGCAATATTCTTCCAGTTTTTGCAGGGATGTAATAGTTCACTGGTTTCTGCTCACCCCTCCTGCATTCTACCCCATCTGAACCTTTACTGCCAATGTTGTTTAAGCAAGCATCTTGCTTTCATTAGCCCAGTTCACCTTCAAAGGACAACTCCTGCCTAAATCTCTTTCAAACCTCTCCTGCATCTGTAGACAGTTTTGGCTGTATTAGACTAATGTATCCCCAGGGTACTATCTTTGCTTCTTTTCTGAGTGCACATTTCCAGACCTGCTTACAGGATGTGTTATTTCACCATTCGTGGGAATTTGCATGGAGGCTAATCAACATTGTGAATCTAAAAGAGAGATTAGCAAAATTGACAGGAAAAGGCTTGAAACAGAAAAAGGCAGATCTGACTGAGAGAAAGACAACAGGCACTGACAGCTTAGTATCAAGTGAAATTACTTCTGCTGGTATGACTTTAAGACAGATTTTTAGCTGCCAGGACAAGCATGGGACAGGGGATTACGGACAGCGTAACAGCCTTGGCATAACCAAATCCTAATCCAGGATCATAGGCTAATTCAGGTTGGAAGGGGCCTCAGGAGGTCTCTACTCCAACCCTTGCTAAAGCAGAGTCAGCTCCAAGCTCAGAGCAGATCACTCAGGGCTTTATCTAGCCACATCTCAGAGACCTCCACAGACAGAGTCTGCCCAGCCATCCTGCAAGTCCCTCCAAGGCTTGGCTGGCCTCACAGTGAGAAGAGGAGCAGCATCTCTGCACACTACTTCAATCCAAGTCAGTTGATGGACAAATTTCAGCCAGATTTGTCATTTAATTCAGATCTAGATCTAGGCATCTGAATATAGCAACTGTAATTAATACACCATCCAGTCATCCTACTAGTGTTTCTTTCAGCCTGATGGATGACACAAACATGACCTTGCTGAAAAGTGTGGCCAGTGCTATCTTGGTCAGCTCATAATAAACACAGTTACATGCTCAGGTATTACAGTTTTCATTTCAGATGTTCAGAACTCACATCAATCACCACATTATCTGACTGTTAAGCTCAGCACAAGGTCTGTAATATGTACAAGGTGCAGAAATTGTGAACACACTGCTCTCAGTACACTGTTGCTAATGACTCCCTCTCCTTTAAACAACCAAACACAGAGAACTAAAAAAACCCTCTGGATACATGAAACGAACTTTCAGTGTCCCTGAAGTTACTCTAGAAAGGCAGCAGTCCAACACAGCATAGAAACAACACCCTGCCTACACTGACTGCAGTCACTGGGAGACTAAAAGGGTAACAGCTCTTATGCTGGCACATGTTGTAGGAAGAGCTACTACTTTGGAAAGAAATAGATGCTAAATTTCACGAACAGGCAAAACTCTGGGAGATCTAATCCTGAAAGGTTCACATGGGCAAGAATAGCTTTAGCCTCTGGAGCTGTTCCAACCTGCTTTAAAGAGAAGGAGCCACTTGCAGGTTATACATTCCATTTGCATAGCAGTTTCGGCACACAGGTGCTGCAGTGTCTGTTCATACCAGAGTGTCTCTTACAGCTGTGTGACCAGCAAACTGCAGGAGAGAGGAGGCCTTCCAGCATCTCAGGGTAGCAGCATGTGCTGCAGATATCTGCAAGAAGCACTTCCTACATGTCGTACATTACCTTCAGCCTTCAGTGCTAGGAAAACATGGAAACTCCTCCAAGCCTGAAGGTTTGAAGGTTGGGTGGAGACCGCAGAGCACCTTCCAGAATCTGAAGGGGCTCCAGGGAAGCTGCAGAGGGATCTGTGTTAGGAGCTGCAGGGACAGGACAAGGCGCAATGGGTACAAATTGAAGGAGGGGAAATTTAGGTTAGGCAGTTTTGCTGTGAAGGTGGTGAGACACTGGCACAGGTTGCCCAGGGAGGCTGTGGCTGCCCCAGCCCTGGCAGGGTTCAAAGCCAGGTTGGATAAAGCCTTGAGCAACCTGCTCTGGTGGGAGGTGTTCCTGCCCAGGGCAGGGGTTGGGGCTGGATGATCTCTAAGGTCCACTCCAATCCCAAAAATTCTATGATTCTACGCCTACACATGGACTGAACCAAGACTGAGAGGCAAACATATCAGAAGTGCCAACATGTCAGTCTCTGAAGTGACCATGCCACCATCTGATTTTTATCAGCAACCAGGAAGATAAGCAAAGTACAAGACACAAAAATTCAGCACTACACTGCCAAAAAATACCCAAGAGCAGCACCAAGTTTTCTGCTAGTGGTTTTCGGTTTGGTTGTTTTTCATCTCTAAGAAAAAATTACTACTAGGAATATATAAATTCCTTGATGCATGGAAATTAACCTGAGAAACATGTTAAAAGACAAACAGTTCAGATCAAGGGCATCCAAGCAAATTCAGTGACAAGATGCAAGTGAATGAATTTGCAGGTTTACACTGACATCTGATATATATATTCTGGAGGATGCTTA